CAGTGGGAAGCGAGATGAGAGAAGCACAGGGTGCGGAGTCCCAGCAGGTCTCTTGGCTCAATGGCAGGGAAACATCCCCTGTGGTCTGGGAGAGGGATGAAGTGGGATGTGAGGTAGGGGCACCAACCAAGTCCCACCTCCCACCTGACACTCTTGGTGAGACCCTTTGGACACCTGCCTTTAAGGAGCTGACACCCCCAGTGGGAGGGGAGGGCGCCAGGTAGTGGACTTGGTGCCTATTGGGCCTGCCCGGGGTGAGGCTGGGCAGGGGCCCTCTGTCTGGACGGCCCCTCCTGCCACCTACCTGCTTCCCTGCTCAGGGGGTTTCGTGCTGCTGGATGGAGAGACCTTTGAGGTGAAGGGGACGTGGGAGAAGCCTGGGGGTGCTGCGCCTTTGGGTTATGACTTCTGGTACCAGCCTCGACACAATGTCATGATCAGCACCGAATGGGCAGCTCCCAACGTTTTTAGAGAAGGCTTCAACCCCGCCGATGTGGAGGCTGGTGAGAAGGCCCCCGGGGGTCAGCGGGAGCGTGGGCACACGCCCTCTTTCTGCTCCCAAACCCCACTCTCCAACCCCTCACTGCCCTCCCGTGGACCCCAGCCCCTTGGGTGAAGGGATGGGATGTGCTGAGTGCTCTGATTGCTCGGGTGTCCTGACCCCACCAACCCATATCCAACTTTCTGCCCAGGGTCGGGCCCCAGCGGTTGCCCATGCCCTCCGGCCCCAAATCTGAGCCCATCCTCCGGCCCCGTTCCCACGCAGGACTGTATGGAAGCCACTTGTACGTGTGGGACTGGCAGCGCCATGAGATCGTGCAGACCCTGCCTTTACAGGACGGGCTCATCCCCCTGGAGGTCCGCTTCCTGCACAACCCAGCTGCTGCCCAGGGCTTCGTGGGCTGTGCCCTCAGCTCCAACATCCAGCGCTTCTTCAAGAACGAGGTGACCTGTGCCCTCTGGCCCTGTCCAGCCATCCTGTTGTCGCCTCTGTCCAGGCTTCTGTAGTCATGAGGCTCCCCTCTCCCTAGGAGTAGCCAGGCCTCTCTGCCTGGCTCCACACGCCCAGACTTCTCCAGGGCCCAACACAGGGCCGCCTGCCTGCCTCTTTACTCTCAGTCCTGGCCTATTTCCACCTTAACCCTAACTGGCCATAGTTATTCATTCATGTATTCAACAAAAGAGGGTGTGAGCTTGTATGTCCGCACTGTGCCAGGTGCTGGGCATACAGCGGGGAAGCAGACATGTGCATTGGAACTTGACCCCAGTGGCACGGAGGCCCTGTGTCCACTGTCTCCCTGCAGACATGGCCCTGGGGACACCCCGATCTGCCCCCACCCCCAACTCTGACAGGCTCTCCTCTCCACCTCCTCATCCCCATGCAGGGAGGCACTTGGTCGGCAGAGAAGGTTATCCAGGTGCCCCCCAAGAAAGTGAAGGGGTGGATCCTGCCTGAAATGCCAGGTGGGTGCCCAGGAGTGGGTGGGAATCAGAAGGTTGATATTGGCCCAGGATCAGGAGTCCTTAAAGCCTCTGAACCCTACCGCCACCCCAGGCCTGATCACCGACATCCTGCTGTCCCTGGATGACCGCTTCCTCTACTTCAGCAACTGGCTGCATGGGGACCTGCGTCAGTATGACATCTCTGACCCACAGAAGCCCCGACTCACGGGACAGGTGGGAGTCCTCGCAGGGGGGAGGGGGGCGCGAGAGAGGGGAGGATAAGAAGAGAAGCTACACAAGGAAAAGGGTGTGAAGGGGCTGGGGGTGATAAGGGAGGTGCAGGAAAGGCAAAAATGGGGCTGAGGGATGGTGCAGCCCAGGACTGTGGGAGCCCTGGCTTACCTGGGAAAGCGGGGGGGGGGGGCAGGGGGGGGGGATCCTGACTGAGGCGAATGGCTCTTCCTGCCCTGTCATCCTACATTCTCCGCCCCGTCCCACCCAGCTCTTCCTGGGGGGCAGCATTGTGAAGGGAGGCCCTGTGCAAGTGCTGGAGGACCAGGAGCTCAAATCCCAGCCAGAGCCCCTGGTGGTCAAGGTGAGGCGCTCTCCCTGCCCACCCACGGGCCCAGGGCACACTCAGGTCCATGCTGGAGGGGTATGGGAGAAGCGGGGGGGCATCCCAGCAAGCTCTTGGGGTTTGGGTGGTGCCTGTGATCCCCTCCAGGGCCCTGGGGACTGATGCCTGGTTTTCCCAAGGGGAAACGGGTGGCTGGAGGCCCTCAGATGATCCAGCTTAGCCTGGATGGGAAGCGTCTGTATGTCACCACGTCGCTGTACAGTGCCTGGGACAAGCAGTTTTACCCTGATCTCATCAGGTGAGAAGCAGACAGCCTGGGCTTTCCTCCCCAGTCGCCCCCCCCGCCCCCCTGCCCCGCTCCCCCAGGTCTTTGGCTTTCTGAAGATTCCTCGGGCACCCACCTGCCCCTGCCACACAGACCCTGCTCCCTCCTCAGGAACCCACTTGCACACTCACAATGCCTTGGGGGAAGGGGATGGCCCACTCTGACCTCTCTCTTCTTCCCCCCTCATTGCCACCAGGGAAGGCTCCGTGATGCTGCAGGTTGATGTAGACACAGTAAAGGGGGGGCTGAAGTTGAACCCCAACTTCCTGGTGGACTTCGGGAAGGAGCCCCTCGGCCCAGCGCTGGCCCATGAGCTCCGCTACCCTGGGGGTGACTGCAGCTCTGACATCTGGCTCTGAAGCTCACCCCTCAGAGCCCCACTGCCGCGTTCTGAGCCCTCTCTTCCCCAGGGACCTGGCTTCCCTCTGCTCTCTGGGCCACCACCCTTGGCAGCTTGCCCCACCAAAGCCAAACTGAGGCTGATGAAATGTATTGAGCGGTGTCTCCACGTACCAACCACTGTTCTGTGCTGCTCCCCGTGCTGTCTTTACATGAGCTCTTGAAATTATTTCACCACAAAATAAACTGGTGAAAAAATAAACCTATTCCTTAGGTCACCTTGCCTCGGAGGGCATGGGGCCTGTGATTTCTTTTCTGTCTTGCACAGGGACGTCCTGAAGAGGACTCAGGGGTCACATAATAGTGATTCCAACATGATGCTGATGGTGCCCCAAATCTCACTTGTATAGCCAGACAGAACCTGAAGATTTGGGGTGTGGTTGTGACAAGGACACCCTGGGGAAGAGAATGTCAATCACTGTTTCTAACCTTTTTAAACAATCTGTGCGCTCTTTTTAAGAAGCTAAAATCTCACCCACCATCCCCAGAGAATGTAATGTGTCCCCGCACACAGGGGATACTCGAGACCCCTGATGACGATAGTGCAACCTATTGCCACCGCTGGTGAGACGACCTGGGAACACACGGTAGTGGGAGGTTAGACATGGGAGACGGGCACATCGCTGGGCAGGCGGGCTGGGAACACCCACGTGAACCCGCCCGTGCACTCTTGTCTCCTCACCTGGAAGTGTTTTAGAACCTTGCCCAAGTCGGAGACGTCTGTCTCCTTTCGCTGTGTGACGTCTTCAATTGTTTATAAAAAGCATGAGATAGAAACTTCAGGAAGCGAAGAGATAGTAACCAAGAGGTCATCCTACTGACCTCTATTCTCTTCCCAAGGCAAGGCCAAGGATCATTCAGGGATTCGTTTACATCTTTTTCAGTCTCCCACAGAGGTGTCTTTGTTTTAAACACTGGAACCATCTGAGGCCCCCTAAGATGGCCAGGTAACCCCAAGAATCTATCATGCTTTCTTTCCCTCGGATTTTTTTAAAGATTTTTATTTTATTTATGTTTATATATTTTTATTGATTTCAGAGAGGAAGGGAGAGGGAGAGAGAGAAACATCAATGATGAGAGAGAATCATTGATCTGCTGCCTCCTGCATGCCCCCTAATGGGGATCGAGCCCACAACCCAGGCATGTGCCCTTGACCAGAATTGAACCCGGGACCCTTCAGTCCACTGGCCGATGCTCTATCCACTGAGCCAAACAGGCTAGGGCCCTCTGGGGTCTTTTCATCATGCTTCTGAAACATCTAGCTAACTAGAGTCCTGACTCCCTCCTCCTATCTTACCTGCCATCTGGGTCAAGCTATCATTCTCTTTGGAAAACCTTCTCCCTGACCCCTCCAGGTTAAGGACCTCCTGCACCTAACCTGAGCATGAACATATGTCACATTGAACGGACATATTCCCAGCACCTCGCTGGGCTATTCGCACACAATTTAATGCTTGGGGTGGTTAAGGAGTTACAGGGAGCCCTGGGATTCACTGGGTCTTCCCTGAAGTTTCTCCCCTAGGTTTCTGCCTCATCCTTTTCAATAACCAAACTTCCTCAGAAAGAGAAAGGTCTTGCTTACTCTCTAATCTGCGTTTCTCTCTGTCTCTCTCAGTCACTCACTCTAAAGAATAAGCCTCTGAGTTATGAGTTGCTAGCTGGAGAGATCCACATGGCCTAGCACTGAACGAGACCAACAGACAGACAGGACATCAGGCCTTCAATCCAAACTGAATCCCGAAGCTGCCCCGTGTGAGCTCAGACCCTGAGTGACACAGATCCTGCCTCAGCTGAGACCTCAGTGCGGGACACTGGCAGTAGTACCAGAACCTGTGAGCTCATTAGTGCGTGGTGCTGGTTAAGTCTCAAGTGTGGTGTAACGCTGTCACACAGCCGTAGGCCACTAGTACAGTCGTCCCACACCGGCCCGGGCCCTATCCTCTCCCCCACCTCTGATTTCCTCCCAGCTCCCTCCAGCCACCCTGACCACCTTTCTGACCTCTTCTTCGGCCTCCAAGTGTCTACACAGCTGTGCTTTCTGCCGCTAAACACACCTGAGTTGCCCTAACCCAGGGGTGGGCAAACTTTTTGACTCGAGGGCCACAATGGGTTCTTAAACTGGACCAGAGGGCCGGAACAAAAGCATGGATGGAGTGTTTGTGTGAACTAATATAAATTCAAAGTAAACATCATTACATAAAAGGGTACGGTCTTTTTTTTTTTTTTTTAGTTTTATTCATTTCAAACGGGCTGTAGTTTGCCCACAGCTGCCCTAACCGGTTTGGCTCTGTGGATAGAGCGTTGGCCTGCGGACTGAAAGGTCCCAGGTTCGATTCTGGTCAAGGGCATGTACCTTGGTTGCAGGCACATCCCCAGTAGGAGGTGTGCAGGAGGCAGCTGATAGATATTTCTCTCTCATTGATGTTTCTAACTTTCTATCCCTCTCCCTTCCTCTCTGTAAAAAAATCAATATATATTTTTTTAAAAACTAAAAAAAAAAAAACACCTGAGTTTGTGTAGGGCTCCTTCCAGTCCCGCTGCTGGGCGTATAAATGTCATCTCAGTGCAGTTCTTCAGCCCCTCCCCCCTTATCCTTTTAAGGAAAAGGAATCAGGTGAAGGTGCTTTGGGAGTTTAGTGACTGACTCTACATTTGGAAGCTACCTGGAGCTCCTACCAGTCGAACTTCACTTTCAAGGACGAATAAGATGTGGTTGGCGGAGGAGACGGCAGCAGGAGCTCTAGACGCAGGTCAGTTACGTACAACGTGTAAGGAGAAGTGCTCTGCAGCCATGAAACCATAGATTCAAAGATATTAAAGGGCAGGGATAATTATTCATGTTAAATGAAAGGTGAGTGGGAATAAAGGGTGACCCCATATTTGGAATAACTCTGTGTTTAAATGTAGATGAAAGGATACCAATAGGTGGAGGGGTAGTGTTCCAATCTTCTAAAATGTGTATTGTTTCATCAGAAGGCTTCCAGCAGTATGCTTTGGTTTTGTGTACTATTTTCTTCATCCAGACATGCGGCGCTGGGGGCCCTGTGATGTAGACGCGTTATCCCCACACTTCCCTGCGGGCCCAGGGGCTGCAACCTTGTCTGCCTTTTCTGTCCTGGAACCTAGGGCCTGAGTCAGGAGCTCAATGCAGACCCTGAAGTACCAGATTTTGGACAAAGCCTGTGTTTTCCTAGTGTGAAATGACAGGACAATGACTTCTATGAAGGCACCCCAAAATGTTGACTCTTAACAGATTTTAAGCTGCTTCTGTTGCTGACAGAACCATGAGCCCCACAACACGTGTGTCATGTCTCACTCATCCACTAGAGGGCAGTGCATGGCAGCACATGACAATGACATTGACCCACTTCCAATTTTTACAAGTTCCCTTTCTTCAGAAGGTGCCTGATAAACTTCGAGGAATATTTATTTGATTTTCCTCTTCAACTTCATTTGGAAGCTAATGAAAATCCCCTCCAAGTAACAAAAATAAGATGATCCAGTGCCGGGCAGATGTCACTTGTGACACAGACACGTAAAATGATGGGTCCCACCTTCTGTGTGCACCTCCATCCCTACCTACCTCTCTCCCTCCATCCATGTACAAAGATCTATCTTTGTAAAGCACCTTTTGGCCTTACATGTGATGTACGAGAGACAGTTGCCAACCGTGTTCCCCTTTTTGGTGACATGAGGGAATCAAGGCAATAAAAATGAAAGGGTGTACACGAAGGATGAAGGACGACAGAAATGGTACCTGCATGGGAACATATATAGATATATACAGTAGATGTAAGACGTCTTTCTTATCATTTACATCTCTTTAAGACGTGGGATAGACACAACAGTAATAATGGTGGATTTCGGGGCTTATAGCATATGTCAAGTGCAATGCATGACGACCACAGCATAAGGGCAGGCAGGAGAGACGCGGGGAGAGGTACTCTACCACTTGAAGGCAGGCTGTGTGTGTGCTCTAGAGCCTAAAGAAGCCGCTGAAATAACAGTGATGTGCAAAAGGAGAGAAAATGGAATCTTACAGAAAGCACGTAAACACTGCTTTAGAGCAGTTGATCTTCCTACCCTATAGAAAAGCTTGAACTGTCCAGATATGTGTATAAGATGATGAGAACACCATTATTTGTAACCCCACAATGACAGAAACAGCTTGGGTAGTAGTGGAGGAAGTCTGTCTTCGGTGATGGTTGAGAGAGAGTGCAGAGAAGAGGTACAAAGGTTTGGCTTTTAAACAATAACAATGGCGTCCCTGGGTGGGCTCGAACCACCAACCTTTCGGTTAACAGCCGAACGCGCTAACCGATTGCGCCACAGAGACCTACAGGGACTAGCATCTCAATGTAGTGGAGAACAAGTCCTTGTCACTGCTAGGTAGAGCCATGTCCTTGTCGCTGGACAGAGGGCCGTGCAGACTCCCAAACCTCGGAAAACCGAAGAAGTGGAGTCCACGCTGCGTGTTGGTGGCGTTTGAAACCCGCGCTTTGGTCGATTCTGAAGGTAATGGAGCCGCCGAGTAACCCGCCCGGCCTTGCTCCACTACCGCCTCACATTCTGAGCCCTATGGGGGGCCAGAGGGGAGGGGGGCAGGGGAAAGCCGAACGGCCCGTGGGCTCCCGTGATGGCTCTCCCCCTTCGCTCAGGCTGCACCCCACGGCCTGGCCGCTGGCGCTCGCCTGGCTCCCCTTGACCGAGGTGCGCGGGGCGGGGTCAGAAAGAGTGGGTGCGGCAGAGTCAAAAGGGGCAAACGCATTTTAAATTTGCCCTATCACTCCATGATCTAAAAATAATTTTGCACGGTGTTTCATTTTGGATGTTTCCCATCGCTCTTGGCTTTATGTTCTCTCATCTTTTCCCTGCAATGTCTAATCCTGTTCATTCCACCGAGTGAATTTATTATCTCTAAAGATTGACTCTACACATTCGTGTGTGTTCCACGTTTCCAATGGACCCTTTGGACATACGTAACAGTCATAACAACAGCATTCGTGTCCTCTCTGCGCCTTTAGCATCGTGTCAGTTAGGGTTGGGTCTCGGGACACTGATTCTTCTCCTCTGTGCACGCCTGGCATTCTGTGACCGAATGGCGACATTGTCCTAGTTCACCGTCTTGGGGACTGGCCCTTTTGGTAGCGCTATAAACCTTACGGGGCTTTGTTCTGGGGTCCAGTTGGGTGACTTGTCAGCAGGTTGGTCCCTTGGG